GGAAGCTTACAGATAGAGGATATAATGGAAAGAGATTGGAGAGAGAAATCCGTCGTATTGGCGATATAGAAAGGAAAACTTTTTTGGAGAATAAATCATATACTTCGGGAACTGGGGATAGTTTCCGTTCTGCATTTACCACCCATTATAATATTGATTATAATAAAATTAAGAGAAGTCTTCAAAGTTCTTGGCCAATTCTGCTACAAGACCCCATTTTGGGGACACATTTACCAGACAATCCCTTGGTAATCTACAAAAGGAATAAAAATTTGAAGGATATGTTGGCACCTAGTTATGCCATTAAACCACCATCAGGTCCCACTTCTGCTAGCTCAGGTTCATTTCGAGGCTGTGGCACTTGTAAAGCTTGTACCACGGTGTCCATAAAAAATACACATTCATTTTTTAGCTCCACCACGGGGGAGAGCTTCACACTTAGAGATAGTATAAATTGCCACACGGACTTTGTGGTATATCTGCTACAATGTCCGTGTGGCATGCAATACGTGGGACGGACTAAGAGGATTTTGAAGGTTCGCCTATTAGAACATCTTAATAATATCAGAAAGAGACTGATGACACACTCAGTCCCAACCCATTGTATATCATGTCCCCTTTTTTCATTTAAGGATTTTAGATGTTGGGGAATCGAACGAGTCCACCCCTTCTGGCGTGGGGGTAATAGAGTTCAAAGACTAGCCCAGAGGGAGACGTTCTGGATACATAAATTACAAACCCTCTCACCTAAGGGTCTCAATATCGATATTGATTTAATTTGTTTTCTAGATTAATATGGCCTAAAATCTTCAGAACAAAGAGTTAGGATATGTGTGTTTGCCTTTAATTTGGGTTGTTTCTACAGTTGAAAGCTAATCCCTACTTAGAGAGAGGATTTATATATATATAAAATACCAGGTAGTTATTTTATATCTCTTATATTTTATTTTATCTCTTTTTTTACAATTTGTGATCTATTGTCCTATATGACCAAAAATCACAAAAGACTATAATAAAAACACAATAACCGATTATTCTAATATAAATAATGGATTTGCTCTAAGGTTTTTTAGAGCTGGTATAAATTGAATGTGGTAGATTCACTAAATAAAGTTTATATGGGAAGTAGTTATTTTGTAGCCACAATCTACTAACCCCCGTTTTTGTGTAACCATAGCAATGGATTATTTCAATGTGTATAATAGGTTTATCCCAAAGATTTTTATGGGGAGTACAAATATATAACACGACAAATTGAAGTTTAAACTGATACAGTGATGAATTGATTACGGTGTTCACTTTGATTAACAATGTATAAAGTTATAAAAAAAAAAAAAAAACCTTTTAAATAATAGACATAGGAAATATGATCACTTTGTAATACGAAGCCTTAGGCTTATAATATACTGAGGTATTATGATTACTTGGTACAATATGAGGATTAACATTATGTTGTGTGATGGGATTAATGAGGAGGGTGATACTCAACAGATATATATACATAAATAACGGCTAAATATGTTAAAAATGGTTAACAGTTTTTTTTTTCAAGCAGAATGGGGCTTTTTATTTGTCCTGTGTTCCATTTGACCTTTTGAATGACTTGATCGCGCCCGGTTGCCATGGAGACGTTACTGGTGGAACGCATGTGGAACGCGGACGTGCCCGCGACGTCACTTCCGGTTTCGGCAAATTATGACCACTTCCGGTATTTGCCGAAAAAGGCGCAAATTACAAATTATGGAAAATGAATGGATGACAAACAGCTGCCACAGGAAGATCAGTCCTCCAATTAGAACCAAGGAGGATTTACACGCCTACTGGATCCACCAATAGACTTTAGGGATTAGCCCTATTTAAGGACACAGGGAGGGGAGATGTGTATAGGATATGTTTATGTATTGTACATTGATACATTGTTATTATTGTTTTTAATTGTGGTCCCTGAGGAAGTTCTTATAGAACGAAACGCGTAGGACAACCTTCTGTTATTTGTATCCTATGCTGAATTGGTGACTACACTTTTTATCTAAATAAATTTTTTATTACTGAACCCTGACCTGTGGATGTCTTTTGGTGATACAAGGATCCAGAGGTGATAAGGAATACCAGCTAGCCCCCCATTCCATTGGGGAAGGCACCTTAAGAGCGCTTTTACTGCCTACATCCTGTGAGTGCACAAGATTACTGCGCATGAAATATTGTGTTTTATAACAATATCACACTATGTTTTGTTTTATGCTTTCTCTGTAGATTTACACAGCCATATCCCGAATCTTCTCTGTTTTGGTTTATACTATATATGATATAGGTCGCTTGTTTGGGTAACGACCTAGGGAGGCTGTCATACATCTTTATAAGCTAAGTACTATTGCTTTTTATATTATTTATCGATTGTATATTGTTTGGGTTATACTTATAAGCTATAACTAGGCATTTGCCCTGGGCATTTGGGGGCGGCGTTTTTTGCCGCCCCCTGGAAAATGCCTTGTTTGCCTCGCGGCTAATACGTCCCTGTGTGAGGTAAAGAATATGATTGAACTAAGAAATGATCTTATTTGCCAGCATAGAATTGAAGTTAAGCAAGTGTGTGAATGCAAGAAAAGTGCAGGCACAGACTTTAATCCCAGAACCAATAGATACTGGAAATGTATCATTTCAGAGTGATTTTAAAACTAAATTTGAAAATTCATGAGCAATTAATGAGAATGCTGTCATTTATTCCAGTTTATCACACGTCAGTGGATGCATTTACTAATGCTTACAGTTTTGAGTCAAATGTGGAAAATTATAGCCCAAAGCAGGGCCTGACCTTCATGGTGGACAGATATGTCTGTGGAGAGCTCCAGACGAAACCATTGTTTGTGGTGATACTTTAGCTGCCAGCAGCCTTTAATCAAATCCAAACAACCGTTACTAGAACTTGCACTCCGTGGGACCTTGTGATACCCACTTTTGGGAATTTATTTCTTGCTCCCAACACTAAATTACAGGTTGAGGCCTGCACAGCGAGGTGCATTCCGTTGTAGGGAGAGGCCGTCAATCTCCTGGCCTGGAGCTGACAGGCTATAATTAAAGTCTTGTTTACCCCCCTTCTTCCCTTTGGTCTGGCAGGGGTTATCCCGGTTCCCACTGGAGACAAATCATTTGTTATACCGGCATCTGTAATCTATTGTGGCAAACCCTACAGGTGTCCCCAAAATGGCATTTACTCAAATGGTGAGGACAGAGTAGGAGTGGGCCAAGGCGTTACAAGCATAACTTGATGCAATCTGCTAGGCATTTTGCCAGCACTTACATGCACTGAAGCCTACTCCACCGACAGGTGCTAGTAGCTCTCCTTCTGGGCTGGGAGCCAAAATGGATGCCAATCCTGACCACCGGCCACAACCTTGGAGAACCCTGCGTGAGACGCAGGTCTCTTAGGACTATAGACAAGCCACCCGAAACGGAGGGTCCAGTGGCCCAGAGGCGGCTGCTCCTATTAAAGCCTGGGCTTGGAGAATGAAAGTTCGGAGGTGCTGACTAGAAGTTACATATGCTTTATTCTACCCTGCCTTATTGATGGGGAGCAAAGGCGACCATACTCACCTCTCCCTGCATAGACTGGGAACACCTTTGACACCAGCTTGCTGCAAATCTCAATCACCTGCAAATCATCTCCAGGGGAGCTAACCAGAACTGTGTCCATGCCAAGGAATTGGCTGAAAACATGTGGTGACATATCTGCGCCAGGCTGCCATGTGTCCCAGTAGCAACACTACAAGGCCCAAATATGCCCTTTTCTTTTCTTGTGCCATTTTCATTTGTTTTTTTCAAGTGTACATACATTAGACATATTCTTTAAAATCAGCAAAACCTAACTCTAGCTGTCACCTGCCTAAATGTAAATAGATGTACTCTGTGGTTATGCGCCCTCTCTTGGTCTGCTATTTTTTTCTGAGGCAGGCTGATATTCTACAGCAATACTTTCTATATCACATAGCTCAGCTCTTGTTTTAATGCTGTAAATATGTGACTTCTGCTTACTAACATTATGTAAGGATTATACAGGTTCCGCAGTTTAATAAGCCAGCCTTGCTTTGTCGATGTGCTGTTTACCTTGTCCTGTTTTATATTTTAAAAATGTGCAGCTTATCCTGCCGTTGTGTTCTCTTTCCATGCCTACTTTTAACAATCACATGTCGTTGCCAACTCGTGTATTTGAAATTGCACATCAAAAATGAAAAATGAAAAAAAAAAAAAAAAAAGACTGCCGACTGATTGTGGTAGACTGACCGCACCCATAAGATTTGAGGATAACGAGGAAAAAATATGGGAATGAGCAGATTAATGCAGTTAATAAGATTAAGAGCTGGGAATACATTTGGAGACACTGAAATGCTGGAAAAAACAAACGGGGAATTTTTAGTTTTTGTTTTTAAGATCAGTTAATATAATTGCTAAAGAAATTTGAGAGAAGTTGCTTTGTTCTTAGATAAATTAAGGCGGGAGTCCAGAAATAAGGGGCTAAAGAGGAAAATTAGGCAGACAATGTTTCCGTTCAGAGCAATAAAAACACTACAAGTGTTCCGTGTGAGGAACCATGCTAGGCTATATAACTACAACCAGGTCAGAGGTAAACAGGAAACAGAAGGCAATATAGTATTACCATAAGCAAACTGAGTTAGAGTATTTGCATAATAACTCCAAAGATCTCCCATTTTTACATTCAAACCAAACTTTGCAATGAATAACCAAGAACAGACACTGAACAGTTTTTTAAACATAACATACTACTGCTACTGGTAAATATGCTACAGATTGAATGTATCTGGTGGTCTTCAAATTTGACCACTATGCAGTGGGATTTTGCCTGGGGGAAATTGTTCCTCTCCAGCAAGTGTTGATAAGGGGCTGCACTCTTTCTTGGCTGGTGTTTGGCACAAAAGAACTATCTGGTATATGTTGCTGCACTATATCACCCTTGATGTACCTTTCTGATGTGACTGCAGTATTGTCTATGCCTTGCTAATGTGGTCCAGCAGAACTAGGGGATTGAATGCCTCTTTAGGGTCAGGTGCAGGTTGCTCATAGGATTGTGTGGTGAGTTCTGTCACTCGCAGGTCCACTCGGTTGCAGCGGTAGAGTGTGCCTTCCACATCTACAAGATATGAACGAGGAGCAACCCTCTGAACACAGGTACCCAGTCTCCAGTGACCAGTCCTGTCACCAGGGAGTGACTTCATATGGATTGGCTCTCCAATGCCAAGTTCAGGTAAGTCTTTGGCAGACACATTGTATGTCAGTTTGGAGATCTGTTTCCTCTGTCGCAGATTGTCCAGTACACCTGTTACAACACTCCAAAAGGCAATTTGAGCCATCTTTTCCTACCCCAGGGAGTCTAGAAGGTTGTCATGCAACTACTTGTGTTGTCCAGCTTACATTGTAAAAAAAGCATCCCGTGCATTGATACCAATCTTCTCTCTTTTTGTGTTGTCTTAACCTGACTCCTAAGAACTGAGAAGGTGAGCTACGCAGGATATTTATGAAAAATAAACAGGTGTGCTTGATCTGGGTACATATTACATATGTGAAAATAGTAACATTAAAAAACTGTTCTCAATAACTCCCATGTATGGTAACATTAACATGAATTTTGTTTGCAATGCAGCAGTAATGAATAAGGACCAAGTCCTAATTTTTTTTTTCATCAGAACAATTTACAGAACTGTAAATTACTTGTATTTTCTTATAGCCTCCAAACAGTCTCTTTAAGTATAATGAAGATTTTATTTTTGTACGAACAGAGAACACAGCATTGGTTACATAATATCACGTTAGGCAAGCCTCTGTCTTTTAGCATATTAATTTATAAAATGCAGACTGCTAATTGCTCATTTGTCTGTCTCTGTGGCTAAACACGTCTATTCTAAAATGTTATCAGTCTGTCTGTCTAAACCATTAAAGTGTGACATTTCACATGTTAAACTACCGAAAGGCTACATTTGATCACTTCAAAGTGCAAATTAAATCTGCTATGGTGCATTGTACATTAGCAATCCTGACTAAATGGAAGCATTAGAAACATAATATTTAGCAGTTCAGTGTAAGCACATAACTGATGGTCCCTGCTCAGATTATTCTCAGTATAAAAGCACTTACCTTATAGTCTATTTACTAAACTCTAAGTATCACATTCAGTGACAACTAAAACTGAGACATCTTTCTCACTTGTATAATGTTCTAAACCTGCTATAGTGACTATTATTATCGTTACAAGCATTTATATAGCGCCAACATATTCTGCAGCGCTGTACGTTTATAGAATGGGTATATTTGACAAGAAGTCATTTCCATACAGAATGCAACAGAGGCTAGAGGTGAAGAAGACCCTGCTGTAATAAGCTTACAATATGTGAGGAAGGGGTAAAGATACACAAGAGAAATAAAGACTATTTAGAAATAAGCTTGTAAAAGTGGTGTGCGGGGCAAGCGAAACAGTGAAGAGAGAGTGTGCTGGGCTATCCAGGTGAGGGAACGGAGGAGGGCAGTAAAATGAGAGAAGTGTCACCCAGGGAGATGGTAATCTTTCCTAATGAGGTGTGTTTTCAGTAACATAAATGACTGGAAGCGAGGGGAGAGTCTGATAGCACGAGTTAGCGAATTCCAAAGGAACGGGGCAACTCTTGAAAAATCCTGCAGATAATAGTTTGCAGTGCAGGAATGAGCAGATGTTAGAAGGTCATTTACAGAGAGAAGGAAACGAGAAGGGGAGTATTTGTTGAGTTAAGAGGAAACGTAGTGAGGAGGGGAGTTAGTGAGGGCTTTGTTAGTAGTTTACATTGGATTCCTGTACCCTTCAGAATCCAATTCAATGACTGGCAAAGGGGTGAGGTTTGGGAGTAGCGGTCAGTCAGAAAGATGAGCCTGTCTGCAGCATTTTTTACAGACTGTAGAGGGTCATGAAGGGAGTGCTGTTCTACTGGGTTCTTTATCAGCAACTCAAAGCGGGTTTCACATTCACCCATTTGTTAGGAAGAAGCTACTCTGTGGTGCCTATCTGCATAATGTTTCTGGGATATGGTGTTTCTCTACATGGACCTGCCCTCACACCTTCCATAAAGAAGTAAAAGGAAGTCCAATCCCACCATCTCTTTATCAACAAAAGAAGGACAGGAAGACCGCAGAATGGCAGCCATAATTTGCAAAGAAAGGACTGTGCCTGCAAACTCAGCCCAGGGAAGAAGGGTCCAATTGTCCTGCAGAGTATAAAGGAAACATTGTATTTACTGTTCAAGGGATTATTTGTCACGTTCAGCAGTGCTACTGGTTTGTGGGTGATAAGCTGATAAAAAGGACAACATGATTCCCATCTCCCCTGTGATGAAAGCTCCCATGCCACAGCATTTTGGAGAAGAGTAAAGGCTAGCATCCTGCCCACAGGCAATGGGCCTGGTCCCAAGAGCCCCTAAAAGGGGCTGTTGTCCCAAATGCTTGTTCTATTACAACAGAAGCCCCATGCCCTGAGACCCATTTTCTGTTTTATATTGGGTTATCATGAGCCTTTAGGTTTTCCCATACAATTTGGTCCTTTCCCCCTCCCCCTTTTCCTGTCATTGTTCTTCCAGACTGACATTGTTCAAACTGGCTGCCCTGCCACTACTTTAAATTCCCCATGTGGTTCTCAGCCCTTGTTATTGTCTGTGCCCACCGTTCCTGGTAATTACAGGGTTCCATTCACACTGGATAGTAACCAATCACACTACAAAGCTCATAACCAAAGTCCATACTGCTATTGGATACCACTGTAACCCTATTGTATGTAAATGAAGCTGTGGAGCTATAAATAGATGTGCTGGTTTCAATAAAGATGGTTGTTCTTCACTTGACTAAGTGTCATTTAGTGCTTGGGAAGGTGGGCTATAATCACCCATATTGTGTTCAGCTTCATATTCTGAGTAAAATACGATGTATGCCTTTGCCACTATCCTGTGAAGTTACAGAGCCATAAAATAGACCTTACCATTTCAATTTTCACAGTTGGGTGCAAGTCTCATTTTGGGACATTTTGTAGTTTGACTGTTGAAATTACCCCACAAAGGCCTACCATTTGTGAAAGCAGACACTCCAGTGTATCTCATATGGTGAATATTGTGCCTTAACATGATGACATTGTTCACCAGTTTATGTCAAACATGTGGTAAAATATTTATTTTTGCATTTTTTACACACACATTACATTTGCATTTCTCATATATGATATGTGCGACTGTGATAAAACTCAACAATTATGCTCAGCAAATTCTTCTGAATAAAACAATACCCTAATGTAGGCTTTTGTTACTATCCTGTGAAGCTACAGTGCCATAAAAGAGTCTTGACCATTACAGTTTTTACAATTAGAATTTTGATAGATAAATTTGATAGGTCTGTGTCTCATTTTGGGGCATTAAAGCAGTTTGACAGTTAAAATTACCCCATAAATGCATACCATTTGTGAAAGAAGACACCACCATGTATGTCATATGGTATATTTTGAGCCTTATTATACAGCCATTTTAGCTACCAATTTCATTATCTTTTACTTTATCATTGTTTTACACACACATTGCAATTGAGCAGTGCATTTTGGACTTTATATATGCTACTGTAATCAAAATCACCATATTCCATAGCGTTTACAAAAGTGGATACCATGGAGACTCTCATATAATATATTTTGAGCTTTATTAAAATGACAGTTTGTGGTATTCATTTTTATTTTTCAATCTTTACATACACATAGTATTTTTGAAAATTCCTTTTTTTTTCTGGTGTATCCCACTGTAATATAATTATCATAGCTGTACTCTGCAACATCTCCTGAGTTCAACAATACCCTATACGTATATCTTTGGTATGTAACAATCTAAATCTTAATCCTAAACCAAGCCCTAATTCTAAACTAAATCATAATCCCAAATCTAACCATAAACCTTGTCAATCCTAAACCATACGCTAATCCCATGTCTAACTCCAATTATAACCTTAATCCTAATTGTGATCCTAATAGTTTTATAAGGATTCCCTTTGATGGTGTCACCATAGGAATTCCTTTGCTGTTCAGGTTCTGGAGTTCTCCTAAGCACTTGGCACAAATGGAGGCGTCACATTGTTTAATAACAAGGCAGCCCAGTCTATTTCCTGGAAAGGAATGGACATCATTGTATATATCAGAGAAAAAACAACAATATAAAACACAGAATTACAGATAATATGCCCAAAAAGCAACATTCTGTACAGATATCAATGGGATTCTCAAAATTGATCCTCAAAGTACCTTTAAAGAACAGTCTAAGCACCACAACCACTACATCCAGCTATAGTGGTTAGTGAATGGTTTGGCAACTTACCTTGGGTCCACAGGTTCATGTGCTGAGCTGGCCTAGTAGTGCATGGAGGCACTCATCAGCTAAGAGAGCTAGGCTAATGTCCTCAGCCAATGACTGGCCCGCGAACAGTACCCAGCAAACCCCAGGTAAGCTGTCAAACCATTCACAAATGGGAGGACACCAGCAGGCTGCAGCGGGTATGGTAACCAGGAGACAGACCAGGAGTAATATTCCAAGGGACCCTAGGCAGATTTTTACTATGGCTCCCTGAATGGATGTAAATTATGTAAATGCTAGAACTCATAGGACACTTTGCTCATTTAGCTATGAGAATGTGTCTTTCCCTGACAATTCTACTTTAACAGGGCTCTGTTACTTGAGATGTTGGAATTGACAAAACTTCACATCAGAAGCCCAGTCTTGTCAACCTTGGACTTGACCCTAAGACATAGTCTCTAATTTATCTTAAATTATCTTTTGACTGTGTTAGAATTTCAGTGAAATTTCAGTGCAGTCAGTATGAGTTTTTCATAAAGATTTAACCTTAAGGAGAGACTCACAAATACATTTTGGTAACTAAGCCACTTTAAGTAAATATATATAAGTAACATATGTTCTATTTAAAATGTACGTACTCTCGAAAAAGGGTGCTCCTTAACATCCTGGGCGTCTTTCATGCTGGCTCCTAGTCGATCCTTTACTTTTTTAGTTAGAAGCTGTAAAATGGATTAAAAAAATAAAAATAAATAGATACTGTTATTTGTAATAATAAACATCAGAATAATATGCATTTTCCCTGCAGGTAGAGTATTGAATGCTTTTATCACTCACGCCGTGTATATTAATACAGAGATCAATAAACATTTCACAACAAGTCTCTGTGACCTGCTGCCCAGACATTGTCCTGCCCTGACTTCTGGCACGATTCGTGGTTACTGCTTGCTAAGTTCCTGTTTATTATAATGAATGTAATGTTTCCTTAGACCAGGGGTTCCCAATTATTTTTTCCT